GTTTCCAACCTCATCCTCTTCCTTTCAGATTCCACCCTCACATTCACCTTCTTTTGGTCAACTTTTTCTTGCTTCTTTCTGTTTTTAAAACACAAAGAGAGAAGGAGAAAGAGACTGAAATGCGATGAAAAGATGTTGACCCAGCCAATAGTTTCCTGATTCTTATTGTTTCTACTTTCAACTTTTTTTTGGGTGATTAAGACAATATAAGGTCGACGTGAGAGACATTTTTACCTAACGAAGAAGGGACAAGAATAAGAAAAATTGATCAACCTGATCATGAAATACACAACTTGGAACATCTTTTTCAACACTCTTCTCTCTCTCTCTCATCTTACTTGATATCTTTCTCATCTTTCTTGGATGGACAGTAACAATAAAAAATAATTTATTTATTTATTTTTGGATGCACAATGAAAGGAAAGAAGGGAATGAAAATAAAAGGAAAAAAACTTTCAATCTTGTCGCCATTTTCACTTCTTCCATCTTCTGCTTCAATTGAATTGGTTTAACTTTGATTGTTGACTATTGACAATTTAATGGTGATCAAAACATTATTATTAACAATCAGAAGTCACGATTTAAACATTTCCTATCATAATGATAATACAATTGTTAACTTTGTTTACTCATGTTATCAAGTTGACTTCATTTTAAATGTTATTCACAAACAAAATGTTTATTACAAGTCAACTCCGACTATAAAAATAATCCATCGCTCCATGATTAACACTTCAATAACTGAACAGAACAGAACATTTCACTCCGATTTCAAACTGAAAAGATTTGGAATCAAAATCGACTCAAAATTTCTGCAACATCGATCTGTAAACTTTGAGTAAACAGCGTACTTCAGCAATAGTAATTTGACTGAGTAAATTCAGTCAAATTTTGCAAAATGAATTCAAATTGCAAAAGTCTATGAGAAGAGAAATAATTTGCTTAATTGTCACAATTGGTTCATTTTTCCTCATAATGCATTCCTTTTCAGTTGAAATTAGCATTTGTTAGAAAAGGTTAAGAATCGGAATTTTGTTTCATGAATTATAAACTTAAAGAGCTGCATCAATGGCTGTTAGACTTTTGATGTTAATTGCTTAGAACAACTTTTAATTACTTGAATGAAAATAAAAACTTGTCGATGAACCAAATTAACAAAACGTGTTTCTTTAATGGTTCAAAATAACTGTTTGCTCTTGGTTTCTTCACTCGACTAATTGATTAATAATCGACAGTTGAGTAGATTTTAATGAATTTGCAAAATTTGAGGAAAATTTAATGAACGAAAGATTGGTCTTGATCAATGTTTTACTTAAAAAACGATGTTAATGAGAAACAAGAGAGCAATTTGTTTCCTCAACAAGTATTCACATAAAAGTGGATATTGACCATATTTAAATGACCATTATCCATGTTTATGGGCCATGTTACATGCTGCTAAAAATAAAATTGTTGTCCATGTTTTCCTTCCTTTCCCATGCAACGATTGAGTGGGAAGCAAAAATTGATTATCATTACTCATTTCATTGAACTTGCCATGAGAAAACCTTTAATTCTCTAAACTTCTTTTTCTTTCTTCAAACTTGATCTTCTATTACACCTCACCTTTATTCTTCCATGAAATTAACATGAAACAATATCATATTTCATGGAGCAATTGGTGGACAATGTTACAGAAACACAAGAATTCATGAAATATAAATGAATCTGCAAAACTTATAAACATATTAGATTCACTTGTTTAAACACTTTAACATACAATTAGATGAACAATATTTTGTCATGAGTTGAGGTGAAAATAGAATGAAAAACTGAACGAATCTTGGAAAAGAAATGTTGATAATTTTTCCATTTAGATGCAAGTAGAAAATGATGAATTGAAGGAAAATATTGGAATATGAAAGTGACAAGTTTTTCACTGAATTTGGGTGAAATCTTGTAGAATGGATAATCTCTTATGGAAACAAATTTGATTTGCAGAGAACAACATTTTTGCCCTTTTATTGGTTCAATTGATTTACTTGTTACGGTGATTGGGAGTGAAATTTATTTTCCTCAACCAATTGTCTGAATAATTCTGGGAAACGAAAAAAAAGATTAAGATTAAGATTAAGGTAAGTTTTTACTTTCCTTTCTTGGATAAATTAAATATTGACTTTTGTAAATCCCTTTTTACTTGCAACCTTTCACCATTGAAAATAATAAACTTGGTCAAACATTATTTTTTCATTATTAATTTAGCAATCTAACAAAGAGCTGGACAAGTTAAACAAGCTGACATAAGTATATTACCAACTCATCAAAGAGTTGATGTTGCTAAATAAGCTCTGATTAACATCATTACCATCATCATCATCAACATCAGAGTGTTCATGTTGATAAACCAGGAAAGTGAAAAGGTAAACTTGAATTATCACTGATTAATGATTCTCTTGTCAATCAATTATTCATTTGGTTACAATGATACACTGCTATTTAATCAACGTAGACACAGAATTAGCAACTCAGGAAAAAAGCAAACAAAGTTTTCTTTTCAACATTTTATTCTTTTTCCATGGTCCAAGCAAAAAGATATTGACCAAAAATTGAAACATTGACTAGCAAACTTTTTTTGAAACAATAATTTTACATGAAATTTATCAGAGTAAAAACTTTGATAACAAAAGTCTACTCCAAGTTGGAGTTTTTTGTTTTACAAATTCAACAGTTTCAATTCATTTAGACCTTTAAACAAACATTGTTGGTTAGCTCTGTTACCATTTGCATTAGCTATCAAGGTTTAAAAACAAGTCTTGATACTTCAGCTTGATGCTGCTTTGCATTTCCAAATGAACAATATGACTAGAGATGACATTTATTGCCTTTTTAACCCTGGCTTATGGTCTGTCGTTTATGCCAGACTCGATGGTAACTATTGATATTGAGATCAATGAAATATTGTGATGGTTAATGATTCAACACTTGAATCTGTTGTGAGCAAATATGTGTTATTAAGTGAATAACGATGAATCAACACTTTTAACCTTTACTCCTTCTTTAACCATTTATAATACTTTACTTTTGTTTTCATCCTATTCATGACAATTGTTGTTATTAATGACAATCTTACCAACTCACATTATTTACACAACTTTTGACATTATTTACTCTATTCCATGTTTGGATAGGAAAATAATGAGGCAAAATTATTTAAAATTAACCTTTTGTTGATCTTATGTCTGTTTAATTTCATTGCATCTGAATATCTAGGAATGTGATCGCTAATTTGGAGCCAGACTATTTGACTAACAAGATGTTTTAAGATAATTTATCCTTCAATAAAGATCAAGAATTTCTGGTGAAGCCTCACACGATTAAGGATTTAACGTGTTTTATTAACCAGACCAAATGTGCATTGGAGCACAAGAAAAAGCCCGAAAAGTGAATGTTTAATCATTTAATTTAAAATTGTAAAAACGTTCAGAACTTCAAAATTATTATGAAAAAACGATTCAAAGATTATATGAATTTTCATTAAACAGTCATTTATCAGATGATATTACAAATAATAATATTACGAATAATAATACAGAAAGTAGATCAATTTTGGTTACATTTGCATAAATAATTTAAATCAAGAATCTGGAAGACTCAGTCAGTTCAAAGTCGACAAAATGATAAATTTCGATGCTGATTTTGATTTTAAGAAGCAATTTTTTAACGCTTCATGAACTCAAAAAATTTCAAGCGAACAGCATTAGGATTACTATTGCCAGTGCCAATGCTAAGCCACAGGCAAGTATAGTTGAATTATTCATCCATCGGACAATAATAATAAAGACCGCCGTATACAACAATGATCTGAAATAATTTTTGAACAATAATTATTATAAAGAATACACATGAATAATTGCGAACTTAAAGTCTAGTATGATAACGCAGGGAACATGATAAAAGCAAAAAAAGATGTTTAAAAACACATTCAAATTTCAATTTCTGATTTCAAGGCTTTGAAAATAAAATAAAAAATTAATGATAATGAATTTGAATACTTGTGAATACGTGTAATAGACATGGTAATTTACACTGATCTTTGCAAAGCTACAAATAATTTCAAACGTATCTAATCCTAAGCTTCGTATTTGTGTATGTATTCGTATAGGTGTTAACATAAGACCAAAATTTTGTTCCAGTAGCTGGTAATTAATAGAAATATTTGGGTTAACAATGCGTTGTATTATTCATATCAATGAATCATCCGTTTCAAATTGAAACCTTTTGCTTCGATTGGAATCGGTATGTTTAAACATTTTGCCTTTTCATGCTAGTTCCAAAGCCTTAAAACTGGACTAGTTTTGAAATATCTCAATAAAAATGGTTCAATTTTGATTTCAAGAAATATCATAAATTGCTCAAAACACAGTCACAAAGATGATAGGAAAAAACAGGAACTCGTGGATTAAAACGCATTTGTAAAATGACACCATTACAATAATAGATACAGAAACAAATAGGTACTGTATAATAAGTGCTTATCAAAGTATCAACGTTCTTTTTTATTGACTTTTGTCTTGCTAGAAAGCTATGTTAATTTCTGCACAGTAAGAGGAGCTAACAATTTATTCATCAAAATTTCAATCCTATTTACTAGATGTACAGATGTATAGTTGTAAAATCCTTGAAAAATTCATCACTAGTTAGTCAAATGAACTAGATCAACAATGAATTTATCCACGTCTACATTCAGAGGAAATCAAATCTGGATAAATAATTGGATCAATTATTTTGCCAAAACACTGGAAAATTTTGAGCAGATGGAATATAACAAACAAAATTAACATGAGTTAAATAGTATAAAAAGCCTCAAAAAAACGATTAAGATATCAGTTGAAAAAGTATCAACAAGAAATCAAAACATGAATATAAAACTATTAACTTTGTGCCTCGTAGCAATAACAGCGTTTAACGTTGTTGATGCAAACAGCTTATCGAGATGGAATCCTTTGGACATGGCTTTAAAAATGCCGCTGAACCTTTTTGGTAGTCACAAGAAAACTAACTCTGGATCAGCTTCTTCCTCAGCCGCAGCAACGGCAGCTTCAGATTCAACATCGGGTCAAAAACCAACACACAATAACTCTGGATCTCATGGAAAATCACCTGCACCAGCATCAAATACTGGGTCAGGATCATCTGGCTCAGGATCAAGACAAGGATCTAGTTCATCAGGTTCAGGATCATCTGGTTCAGGTTCATCGGGATCAGTAGCTTCAGACTCATCATCTGCACCTGCACTAGCATCAAATACTGGATCGCGCTCATCATCATCAGCAGCAGCTTCAGACTCATCATCAGGACCAACAAAAACAACAACAACAACATCAACCAGTAACTCACCTAACTCAGCATCATCAGGATCAGGTTCAGGATCATCAGCTGCAGCTTCATCAGGAGCAGCAGCAGCTTCAGGTTCAGGATCATCTGGTTCAGGTTCATCAGGATCAGGATCTGGTTCATCAGGATCAGCAGCATCAAGTTCAGCAGCAGCAGCTTCAGACTCATCATCTGCACCTGCACCAGCATCAAATACTGGATCAGGATCATCATCAGCAGCTTCAAGTTCAGCAGCAGCAGCATCAGCAGCATCAGCTTCAGATTCATCATCAGGACCAACAAAAACAACAACAACAACATCAACCAGTAACTCACCTAACTCAGCATCATCAGGATCAGGTTCAGGATCATCAGCAGCAGCTTCATCAGGAGCAGCAGCAGCTTCAGGTTCAGGATCATCTGGCTCAGGTTCATCAGGACAAGGATCTGGTTCATCAGGTTCAGGATCATCTGGTTCAGGTTCATCAGGATCAGCAGCTTCAGGATCAGCAGCATCAAGTTCAGCAGCAGCAGCTTCAGACTCATCATCTGCACCTGCACCAGCATCAAATACTGGATCAGGATCATCATCAGCAGCTTCTAAGTGCATCAGCTTCAGATTCATCATCAGGACCAACAAAAACAACAACAACAACATCAACCAGTAACTCACCTAACTCAGCATCATCAGGATCAGGTTCAGGATCATCAGCAGCAGCTTCATCAGGAGCAGCAGCAGCTTCAGGTTCAGGATCATCTGGCTCAGGTTCATCAAGACAAGGATCTGGTTCATCAGGTTCAGGATCATCTGGTTCAGGTTCATCAGGATCAGCAGCTTCAGGATCAGCAGCATCAAGTTCAGCAGCAGCAGCTTCAGACTCATCATCTGCACCTGCACCAGCATCAAATACTGGATCAGGATCATCATCAGCAGCTTCAAGTTCAGCAGCAGCAGCATCAGCAGCATCAGCTTCAGATTCATCATCAGGACCAACAAAAACAACAACAACAACATCAACCAGTAACTCACCTAACTCAGCATCATCAGGATCAGGTTCAGGATCATCAGCAGCAGCTTCATCAGGAGCAGCAGCAGCTTCAGGTTCAGGATCATCTGGCTCAGGTTCATCAGGACAAGGATCTGGTTCATCAGGTTCAGGATCATCTGGTTCAGGTTCATCAGGATCAGCAGCTTCAGGATCAGCAGCATCAAGTTCAGCAGCAGCAGCTTCAGACTCATCATCTGCACCTGCACCAGCATCAAATACTGGATCAGACTCATCATCAGCAGCTTCAAGTTCAGCAGCAGCAGCAGCATCAGCAGCATCAGCTTCAGATTCATCATCAGG